GCTTAGACTTGGTCCCTCTGTGTCATGAGACAATGCTAGGATATTGGATTGGACAATGAACAAGATTATTTCTTATGGTGAGTAAAAGAAGCTATATCTGTATCTGTATAGCCGGTATAACCGCCTTTCGGCGTAACACACCAGCTTCGCAGGCACGCGGCGCGGCGGCTGCTGGCCCTATATGAATCAGGGCCCTTGTGTGTGGGGGGTGTGTGTGTGTGTGTGTATGTATGTGTGTGTGTGCGTGGCGTAAATTAATGTAAATGGTTTAGATTTTAGTTTAAAAATACTTTTTATCACTCGTGGCAAAAGGTTGTAACGTAAAGCAGGAGAAGATCACGTTTGGCGGGATGGGAAAAGAACCTGGAAAATTCTTCGGGAACGTCGGAGTTGCCGTATCTGCTGACAATGAAATATTTGTGACTGATTTCGATTGGAAAGACCAACGAGTCCAGGTCTTCAGCATAAATGGGACCTATCTCCGCCTCCTTTCTACAGTCGTGCCGGGTGAAAGTAAGACAATGCGCCCTTATGGTCTAGCTAGCGACGCGGAGTCTGGCTACCTGTGGGTACTGGGGAGAAGGCATGTCGTACAGTACAGTAAGAACGGACAGCCTATCAAAAAATTTGACGTGAGCCTCAAGGGCGTCTTTCCCGTCATCGCGATGGACGTGCGCAACAATAAAGTTATTGTGGGGGACTTGAATACAATTATGGTGTTTGATCCAAACGGCTCTCGCATTTGGAGTTCAAAATTGCCTACGGAAGAGGCGATCATGGGCGTCACATCGGACAAGGAGGGAAATGTCCTGCTGACGGATTGGAATAAAGGCGTCTACAAGTACAATACCTACGGAGTAAAGATATTTGAATTCGGCACCTGTGGAAAGGGGCAATCGATCTCTCCCAGAGGTATTTGTCTGGACACCTCTGGTCGCATCATTGTGGCGAACGAATACAACGACCGAGTAGACATTTTCACAAGTCAGGGCGAATTTGTCCGCTCCATCGCAGGCATTAAATTCCCGCAGGCTGTCGCTATGGGACCATGTGGAGAGTTGGTGGTGACTAGCCGATATAACGTTATTATCTTCCCACGACACATGGTGCTTCCTTGAAGCCCTACATTGTGTTCCCTTTATGGTTGATTTTGTTATCTCTGCACGACTGATTCTCTTTTGTTTATGTACCATACATATTGTATTATCAAATGAAGTCGTATAAGCCCACACGAGCTGGGCGCGGGAAGCCTCATTCATTCATTCATTGTAACGCGTAGATTGTCAAAATTGTTGTCTTTGAGAGGAAATTTGCCAGTCAGTTACACGTCTCATTACAAAAGTCTTCATCACAAGTCTATTGTCAAGTGATTTTTAGAGGATCTCATTACACAAGTCTTCATCCCAAGTCTTCATAACATACTATATTGCAGGCCAGTGTTATGTATCAGAAACCTTCCTTCGATGTATAACAAATTTAAAATTTCTAACGTCAAAGTAACCATATCTATTGTCTAGTGGTTTTTCTTTTTTCAAAATTTGATGTATAGGAGTCTGTAAAGAAACAAAATTAAAAGTTACTAAAGGTACAGGTTTGTGTCAACATGTTTTAAATCTATACAGATGGCCGATTATTATAGCAATGCATGATGCAGAGCATGGAACCATGGCCAATTTGTAAACACAGCTATAAGTCCTGTGTCAGACAACACGATTCAAGTTTGAAAATGATGAGAAATTTTAGCAACAATGTCAATATACTTTAAGACAATTACTGTAGCATAGCATGATGCAGAGCATGGAGCCACTTCCAGGACAGTTCAAGTTTGAAAGTGATGCAAAGCAATGGCGTAACAAAGTTAGTTACTTCCGGCTCCCTATTGTCACTAGCTAGGCACCATTGAGTATAGCACCCAGGCCAGAGCCTCGGATGAGGTATTTTTTTAGAACAGGGGAAAATCATTGCGTGCGCTGTGTGCGCATTAAATTACTAGTAAATCAGTGTGGCCTAATACAAAGCATTGTCTTAAGCTATTGGCTCAGCAACCAGTTCGAACTTCTTGGGTGAGTTCGTTACGCCGAAGACCCCTGTGGTGGACGGCTTAGTTGCGCCCTCTGGCAGTTTGAAAGTGAAGTGCTGCAGCAGGGACGTGAAGAAGACGAAGAGCTCCATCTCAGCCAGCTGTTTCCCCAGGCACATGCGCGGACCTACACGGGTTAGAAGATGCAATCCTGTCTATGTTGGCCATCTGTCAAAGATTACACTTTCTAAAAGTTCCCTCAGTCATTGTCAAGTTTGTCTATTTGTTTGTACATGTCTTTGAATAATTCTTTTATCGCAACGACTGTTTTTATTACATGCTGACGTCACTACCTTGTAAATGATTCCCCGGGACACGAAGTTGCAATAAGGCTCCTGTACTTTCTATTATAACTATTGATAGATTAATTCTTTGAGTTTGCATGTAGACACATATTACAAACATTAGGTATGGAGGTAAATTAGATATAGATGCATTACAATCGCTTTCTTTTCAGTTTTGCGGGTGCTTCCATAATAAGATTTAAAATGATTATTTCATTGAGGAATAACAAGAGAAAGACAAGGAACAGTTGAGTTTACGAGCACATGTGGTACTACTGTATCACTACGAAACAGTGAGGTAAAGATTAGCGGCGACGTGATTTGCTTGCTGAGGTCGGAGCAAACAAACATTTTAAGTTTGGTACACACACAAGGCAGGCCTGGTGTGAATCTACACTACGACACTTCCATACACCTCTTCCACAGCCCTTCCATTGCTGCCAAGGGATATACCTTCCATCCATACCGTTTTTCCCTTCCACACTGTGGGCCGTGGAAGAGCGGTATGGATGGAAGGTATATCCCTTAGCAGCGCGGTGTGGAAGGGCTGTGGTAGAGGTGTATGGAAGTGTCGTAGTGGGCCTTCGTATAAATGAATGCCTCTTACCGACACCAAAAGGAATGACGTGGTCGTCCCTCTGGTACCGTCCCTGGGCGTCCAAGAAGCGACCGGGGTCGAATTTTTCGGGGTTCGGGAAATGTTCCGGGTCGTAGTGCACTGACCACAGGTTGGGCTGTAAAACAGGAATACGCAGGAATATGCAGTTTTTGTTTTTCTAACAGCAGAGTCACGGGAAGTCGTATAACATATGAATAATAAAAAAGACGAATTATGGAGGTAAGTGAGGGTATAGTAAAGTAGTGAGGTAAGTCAGGGAGGGAGTGAGGTCGAATTGGAGGTAAAAATGGTCTCCCTGCACTTAAGTTGGGACTTAATTGTAGGGTTAATAAACTTGAGGATTGTATTTTTATGACCGTCTCCAGGACCCCAAAATGTATAGATTTTGTACAATGTACAAAAACAAGTAAAACTATTTTAAAAGAATTTTTAATTTTTTAAAGCCCGGCCCACTGTACCTTCATACCAAATTTCAGGTCATTTGTCCCTAAAATGAAGAAATTGAATCCATGCAACAAAATGGTAGGTACTGGAGGAGAAGTAGGAAAAGAAACATGGGGAAGAACAATATACCTACGTTATGGACGGAAACAATAATCAGACATTAAACTCACCAGCACCGTCGTTTCCTCTGGAATGTGGTATCCATGGAAACTGGTGTCACGTGACATGGCGTGGAAGACACTAATCGGCAGGATGGTGGCCATGCGCGCCACCTCCGTCAGCACGGCGTCTGTGTACGGCAGCTGCGCACGGTGGGTGGTGGACGGCGGCTGGTCGTGTCCCAGGACAGTGTGGATCTCTTCTTGGACCTGGAAGTAAAAAAAAATATGTCTATCCGTGTATCAACCTTACATCATTAGGTTGATAAGACACTGAGTAAAGAGACTCTTTTTACACAACCAAGTGTTTTATTTAGCCGACGTTTCGGTGACCGTCTGTCACCTTCCTCAAGGCAATTCTGACTGGTTCACATTGCATTGCAGCACTAGTGTTCTTTATACTTCGTGCTTTTAAATAAGTGACCTCCTTTTTGTGTATATATCCAACTTCCGCACGTTTGGGAACGTATTGTAGATACATTTCCCAGTAATCCAATCACGCATATGGGTAGATATGTAAATATTGTACATTTGGGAATGCATCTGTAGCAGCGACACCAGTGCTGCAATGCAATGTGAACCAGTTAGAATTGCCCTGAGGAAGGTGACAGGCGGTCACTGAAACGTCGGCTGAATAAAAAGACTTGGTTGTGTAAGAAGTACCTTTCGTTGGATATCCGGGTTGAGAATCATGTACAGAAAGGCCCAGTACAGAGTAGTGGAGGTTGTTTCAGAACCGGCGGCGAACATGTCAAACAGCACTAGTTCTGTGTACTCGTCAGTGAACGTAGTCTCGCCGATGTTCTCGCGAGACTTGGTTTCCTTGACGTATGAGTCGATAAGGTCCCGGATGTCATTGGCATCGAACGTGTCCTTGTGGGAATCCATTTCTTCTTTAATGTAGCCTCTGATGACGCCCAGGACGTCTTGAATAAGTTTCGTACCTCGCCCCATTCCCGGAACGTGTCGTAAGATGGGGAAAAAGACCGCCAGTTGACCCAAAAAGTTGAAGGCAAACCCTCGGTCAAGAGCGTCCATCAAGCGAGTAAACTTGTCGTCGTTGTATTCAAACCTGATGAAAAAACAAGGAAGCTGAGATTTCAGACTTCTAGGAATCTTTTTCCGTTCTTTGCAAGTGTATTAGAAGTGATTTGCATAATTACGGGAGAATAATTGGATGGACAGAAACTCATACGATTGTACAATTTACTTTACTACAAATAAGGCATTATACCATTAATGGAGACCTAGTAACATCCTCAATCAATTGACCCCCCCCCCCCAAAAAAAAAGGCGCCGGCCAAAGCGCCGCCGGCCTCAGCCCTGGAAGTAATATACAATAAAATTCAATGATGTTGTGGCTCACATCTAGGTTGGGAAAGAAATGTGAAAATGTTCGTCACATTTTAAAGCTGAGGCTACACTAATTTAATTAATCTGGTTCGCTGTATCTTTCTTATTAATCTAAATCAACTCCAAATGATAATATGTCGGCAAGAACAGTTGAGGAAAGTCAGAGTTGTTACAGTTTTTTCATCTAACATTTTAGTAATGTGATTGCAAGTTTAAAATTAACGTTAATTGCTTTCATTAGAAACAACAATTTAGTATGTTGAATTCTCGGCTCCTATATCGTAGCATTTGGGGATTTTACAGGATGCCTCGGCCTGCTTTTTTTGTTTTTACTGTTTTGCTCTATCCCTTCATTTTTTTCTGACAAAGTACAAGAACCAACAAATGCTATATTAGTGTGGCGTTACCTGGATCCGAACACAATAGAACAAATGACATTTGTGACTGCATTCTGCACCATGCGGCCGATGTCGAACGGCCCGCCTCCCATCCTCAGGATTTCCGCTTGTAGAGCCTCAGACTCCGCCAGGATCTTCCCCTCCAGACTCCTCTTCCCGAAGCCGAACTCCCGCAGAGACATCAGGGTGAACTTACGGTGCTCCTTCCACGCAGGGCCGAATGGAGCCGCCACGATGCCTGGAAAATTCGGTTCCTCCCTTTATTCATTTATTCATTCATTCATCCATCCATCCACCCATTCATCTATCCATCCATTCATCTATCCACCTGTCCATCTATTCACCTATCCCTCCCTCCATCCATCCATCCACCCATACATCCATTCATCCACCCATACATCCATTCATCCACCCATACATCCATCTATTCATCCGTCCATCCATCCATCCATCCATCCATCTATCCATCCACCCACCCATCCACCCATCCATCTATCCATCTATCCAACCAACCAACCATCCATTCATCCACGCACCCATCCATCTAACCATCTATCCAACCATCCATCCATCCACGCACCCATCCATCTAACCATCCAAATGATCCATTCATCCATCCATCCTTCCTTCCATCCTTTCATTATAGATTTATGCACAGGCCTTTTTTTTCAATTTTGGGGTATTGTTAGACGAGATGTAAAAAAAATAGACCAGTCCTGACTGCGCATTACAATATGCAGTTCAACTTCAACCTATGAGAAAGAGGCTGTTTCTGGTTCGACCAATGAGAGAGTGGCTGCATGTCAGTCGAATTAGTTATTTTTGTTCTTATTTTGCATTTTTACGTCTTGACGGAGATGCACGGGTGGGGTTTTAGGGTCAATCTATCTCTGCAAACAAACTAGATCGTCACGTTAATTGACCCCGATCTCCTATTGGCCAAATCGATAATAGAATTGACGGGCAAAGTAATAATATATAGCGATAGGGTACAGGGTTACTTACCTAGCCTCTGTGGGTTGAGGAGCGATACTATGGCGTTCACTGGTCTGCTGGAAAAA